TCTCTCGAGCAGCATGAGGCCAGATCGGGGCCCCAGGCAGCTTGTCCCAAGAGGGTGAGATTGTACTTGCCCAGAGGGGTGGCAGCATGGCTGTCAGAGGGGCAGCAGGGCCAGTCTGGGCACAGACTGGCATCTTCCAGCCTAGTCATCAGCCCAGAACAGAGCCTGCCCAGGCCCCACTCCATGAGCTGCTGGATGCTTGCCCGCCACGCGCCCAGGATTGCTGAGGGCTTTGCTCATGTATCTCAGGAACAGCTGCATGCCGGAAACTGGGGGCTGGTTGCAAGTGGGAGGGGCACCTGGGGCCGGTGTGGGGAAAGCTGAGCCCCAACAGCTCTTTTAGGATCTGCTCACTGTGCTGGAGGACTGTTCCGCTGTTCACTGACAGTCCCGGTGGAGAGGGGCCGTATTAATGCTGGTGGAGCCCCTGCCCAGTCACCTGGTTACAGGGCTGGCCCTTGCAGGGTGGTAGTTTGTGTTTCTTGGGCCCTGTTTGGAGGCAGAGCCTGGCTTTCAGGAGCTTGCGGTGTAGCTTTCTCCAGGCTTGCAGAGTTCAGAGACTTCGTACAGCTGAGGACACAATTAGCTGCCAGCTGAGGACAGTTCTCACAGAGGAGGCACTAGTTCCTGTGCGATCAGATATGCATGTTTTAGCAGTTGATTGGGGGCTTTGGAAGGGCCTGTATTTATTTCTATTATTTCTATCTTGCTGGATTCCAAGGGACTTAAGGCAGAATACAACACGGCTGGAGTATGCTAAAGAAGGGCTGGTTTTCCTTTCATTTTGAAAGCAGTAGTGATTATTGCTGGCTTCCGTTAGACTTTTCTTGGGTGAATTATGAAGAAGAGCTTGAATAATTTTGGTGGTGATGTGGGGCCCTTGGTAATTGAGAAGTTGGGTTCATTGACCCCTCGAGGTGCCCCACTTGCTTGATTCAGTGCCAGCTGTGAGCAGAAAGGCGTATCATCAGGTTCAGAAATAGTCTGAGCCCAGATAAATGTCGGGGCCATAATTTCCTGACGATAGCATGGGCGATGGGGGGTGGGGGTGGCAGGCCGTCTTTCCAGGGCAGGGCAGCTGAACTGGGCAGTGAAGTTGTAGAGAAGAACTTGGAACTGGGGGAGACATCTGGTGAGGGAAGGCAGAAGTTTGAAAAGCCAAAGAGCCACACCCGTGCTGGATTCAATTCAGTCTCCCTCGCTGGGCCGTGTTGAGGTGGTGGCCTCGGAGCCCTCAGAGGAGGTGCTTGGACCTCCCTTCTGCACCTTTGACTTTGCCCTGGGCCTTGGGGAAATCCATAGAAAGGATGGCAGAAGGAAGCGAGAGGGCGTCCTTGGCTCTTGAACTTGCACCTTCCTCTGGTGCCTCCTGTGGGTGTTCGGTGGGAGGAGGAGTAAGGATAGTGGTTTGGAGAGAATCAGGATTCTGAAGAATTTTCTCCAGGAAACGACTCTATCTTCAGCAGTGGTGATCCCTGATCACAGTGAAAGTCCCTGGTCACATACACACACTTCACATCCACACAAAAGGAGCAGGCATGAGTCCCACCTCCTGGTTAAAGGGTGAAGCTTGGCGAAGTTTTGTCCTTTGATTAAAGGATACTGCTCGGCCAACTTCTGGCACACATTTCTCCTTATATCTGTCTCTGTCTGCACTCTCTGCTCAGCTGTTCAGGTTCACAGTGCGGGTTCACTGTGCGTGAGAGTACCATTTCCAATGAAAGCAGACTTTGTTCTCCGGAGGCAGCTAATCATGCCCCATGGGCTGTAATCAGGGAGAAGGTATTTAATACAGGGCAGGTGGCAACAGGCGGCCTGCACTGACTGGCAGATTGCAACATGGCAATTAGGAAGCTATCACCACCGCCCCCCCTCCACCCCAGCAGATACGGGGTTGAATCTCTCCTCCAAACTGATTTTGAGTAAGTGAAGAATGAATACTATGCAGAAGGAGGAGGCTGGTTGGTGGGGGTGGTGAGGGGTGAGGAGAGCTGCTTTTTCTTCTCACCTCACCTCCCTGAGGTAGGGAGGAGGGTTTAGTGCTGCTCTGGGTATCTCCCTCAACAGTGCCTGCAGGTCCAGCCCAAGGAGCCTCAGACTAAACTGGGTCAGCCAGAGGTTTTACCATCGGCCTCAGCCTTTCTCCCGGAGCACAGCTGTACTCGTACAAACCAAGCGTGTGATCTGGTAGCTGCACATCCTTAGTCCTCTGCCCCAGATCCTTGAAGCTGAGGGAGTTTTGGAGTAATATTCTTCCCCCATCAACTTCTAGACCTTCCAAGGACCATTTTCCAGAGCTGGGCACCGAGGGGCCCGGAGGCTGCTTGCTTGCTCATCGTGGCCCGTGGCCCATTCCGAACGTCCAGCTGTTTTCCCTGGAGTCCTTTTCTCCGTGCAGGGCTGGAGACCGCCTTGGGCTGAAACACTGCAAGGCCACCTGAGAACCTCTGGGTGGAGATTGGCCAGTGGAGGCTGTCCCTGGTAGCTGGGCTTTCTGTGGGGTCTGCTTGCTGCCTTTCAGCTTACCTTTCATCTTCCTCCAGCTTGCGGCCTGGTGTCCCGCTGCTTCTTGTTCTGTCGTCCACACCACCTGGCACCGTTCTCCCCCTGGGTCTGTCCTTCCCTGCGGCACTTCTAGTCCAGGACAGCGGGCGGCCAGGCCCAGTGTGTTCCTGTTCAGTGCCGGCACCGTGGGCCCCTAGACGCTGAATCTGGGGCACTTAGCGGATCTCCGGAGTTGGAGCGAGGGCCCGGTATTTATGGACATGGGGCAGGGAGTGGCACAGACTCGCCCTCGTGGACTTGCGTTGGGGACACTGCAGGCTCCCTGGTGGGCATTGCCCTCCGTGTTCCCCGTTGGGAGTGGCTCCCCTCTCTGTGACTGACATGCATGAAAAGAGTCGGCTCTGGCTGGGAGGGAACCAGCCATCTCCCCACCATCCGTCCCAGAGTGTCCGTGCCTGCATCTATTTCCCATTTCACTGCCACCCACATCCACTCTGTCTGCCCCCTCAGCAAGCCAGACTATCTGGCTGCGGAAGCTCCGGGAATATGTGCTGAGGGGCTGGGGCGTGGGGACTTGAGGGCAGGATGAGGCAGGATGAGCTGTGGGATGTGTGGCAATTAGAGTGAGGGCTGCGGAGTGCGGAGCGAGGCTGCTCTCCTTACAGGTAGAATTACCAGATACCTGAGCAGTCAGTGTCCTCCCTGCCCATACGCATGTCCTGGCGCCTAGGGGACAGTGTGGGCACCGGCAGGGATAGGGTAGGGAAGAAAAGCCGCAGCTGGGAATAGAGGAGGGTACGTAAAGGGCCTGCAGGGAAAGAGGGGCTACCCAGCTGACTGGGGATCATGGGAGCAGGGGCCTGGATTCTCCATATAAAAGGAGAGAAGGCAGAGGCCAGCACAGGAGCCTCCCCTGGGTTTTGTAGAGTCTCTTTGGCTGCATGTAACACTTACTCCTGTGTTTCTGGCTCTACCCCCCTTCCCAGCTCAAATACACACTTCCACTTACACCCCCTGTGTATCAGAATCCAGGTACCCGGGCTGGTTTGGGCTGGCCGGGCCTCTCCCCCAGGCCATAGGAACTCTCACCCTGGGGCCCTCTGGAGGGGTAGCCCTGGGGAACCTGTGGGGGTGACTTGTTTGCTCCCCACACCCCAGGAATGTACTGTCCTTTCAGGCCCGCCCGGATTCCTGTGCAGGGAGTCAGCCCGACACAGCTTGCTGCTTGTGCCCTGTGGGGACACGTTCTGCTTCTCCATCAAAGGGGTGGAGGTTGGCGGCTCGTGCCTGCTGTCACACCCCAGCTCCCCAGAACCCCAGGCCAGAGCCCAAGCTGTTCAGACAGAGGAGGGAGGCCACTCCTGCTTCCCCGCCCTCCCTACACCCTCACCTTCTCCCCGCCTCAGGCCCTGTTGGAATGTGACAAGAGTCATGGCCAGGGCATGTCCCAGCAGCAGGAACACACGCTCTAGCCCGCAAGGCTTCCCTCAGCCCCGAGCTCTGTTAGGTGAAGGCGGCGGGAAGATGTTTATGCCCAGAAGGCCACCTAAGGTTACTGCCTCCGCTGGTCCCTGTGGTGGCTGCTGCCCCCCTGCTGCAGCCTAGTTTATTACAGATGGGGGCAGAGCTCAGAACCCCAAGAACTTGGAGGGGACCACAAGGTGACTCAGTCCCGCCACCGGGGGCAGATGAGAAAGGCTTATCCAGTGAGGAAGGGCCACACAGTGTGTCAGCATCACTGAGCCTGGGACCCCAGCATCTCAGCTCCCCAGACTTGGGTGTCTACACCAGGGTTTCTCAGCCGTGGCACTGTCAACACTGTGTGTTGATCATTCTTTCTCGTGGGGGTGTCCCGTGCATCATGGAATGTTTAGCCGCAGCCCTGGCCTCTACCCACTACGTGCCAATGGCACCCACTCCTGTTGTGATAACCAGAAATATCTTCAGACATTTGCCAGATACCTGAGAAGGGGGCGAGGGGGGACCAAAGTCACCCTGGTTGAGAACCATCATTGCTCTAAACTGCTGCCTTTTTTAGATTTCCTCTCCTGTGCCTTCCCCTCCTCATCACAAAGTCTGTTTACCATAGTGTACATAGAGGTAGCCTTTGGGTTCCTTCTGGAGACTGCTAGGAGCTTTCTTTCCAGCACCTTCTTACATCTCTACGAGGCTTTTCCCTGGTATTCTCTTGTGTAGCCCATGTTCTCCAAACCTCTTAGTTGTTTGCAGATGCTGAGAGATGAACAGGACAGATGTGGGGTAGGAGAGGGACAGGACAGGACCAGGCCTATTTCAGAATTGGGCATGTGTGTAAGCCACGACCATGAACACAGACACAGACACGCATGACTATTCATAGCAGGCAGGAGCCCGGTGCTTCTAGTCCTCTCCCACCTCCACCGCTTCCCCCTCAGACCCCCTGTCCCATGGCTTTCCTGCCTCTCTCCCTGGGGTGCCTTCCAGGTCCCAGACTGGGCAGGGTGGCCTGTGGCACTGACAGACGGGCGGCTGACACCTGGTTTCCACTTTCTTCCCTTCTCCGGTTTCAGGAGCTTTTGGCAAGAGGAAGTGGAGGGGCCGTGGGATGCGGAGAGCCGAGGGCTAACTCCCGGACAGCGGAACAGAGCAGGCTGCTGACAGACAGACGGTATGTCCTGGTGAGGCCTGCACCCCCACGTGGCTCTCTTCTGGGGAGGCTGGCAGGTGAGGGGCAGGCAGGCGGCGCCTCTTGTCTGGGGGCTGGTGAAAGGAGACTGATGGAGGCTAGTGGGGCTTGGTCTTCAGGACTCTGTCGAGCTCAGAGACCCCGCTGAGGAGCCTGGGTTGGGTGAATATCCTCAAAACCTTACTTTCTGGTTACAGTTATTTTATTTTTGCAGTTATATTTTTTAAGGTAACGTTTATTAACCATTTCCTAAGTGCCAGGTGCTGTTCTCAGTGCTTTACGTAATCTCACAATAACCCTGTGAAACCAGTGCTGTTCTTCCCCATTTTAGAGTAGAGGGAGCTGGTCTGTGTAGAGGGCAGTTTTCCCTTCGAGGCTTCCTTCTGAGCCCACACAGGACGTGGTGGCAGCCTTCACACTCGCCGCCCACTCCTCGGTCAAGTGCATTCTTCCCGGTGCCCAGGCCCCAGGTCTTGCCTTGCCCACCCCTCTGTTCCCCTTGGGCCCATGCCCCCCTCAGCACTCCCCTGACTCCTTGGGCGCCGACACACCAGCATCCAGCCCTTCTAGTGGCCCAGCCATGCCTGGTGGCTCCTACCTTTGTCCCCCTCACCGTCCTCTTCCTCAGTCCAGAGGCCACTTGCCCTCATTTCTGAGGCTCCTCCTCCCTGGCTTCTCCTCAGCAGGTTGAGGAGCCCTCGCCTCCCAGAATGACCAGTGCGGCCCCTGCTAAGAAACCCTACCGCAAGGCACCGCCTGAGCATCGGGAGCTGCGGCTGGAAGCTCCTGGGTCCCAGCTGGAGCAGCAGGTCAGCAAGACCGGCACCCCCACTTTGCCTGGCAGAGGTGGGCCTCTGAAGCTGGCTGTCTGGCTGACTTCTCCCGCCTGAGGGGACTCTGGCCCCCTGAGTTGGGGTGAGAGTATGGCATTGCTGGTGGGGGCAGTGTGGGCTCCTGGAGGCCAGCCATGAGCACATGTCCACATGTCAGGAAGCCCCAGAGTCTTGGTAGCTCTGCAGAAATGACCCCACACATACAGTATTGCTCTCTCTACAAGAGGCAGCCCCCCAGACTGAGGGCCCTAACCTGCTGGAGGCTGGGACTCGTCCTCCACTGGTGGAGGAGAGCCGTCAACCTGGAGGCTGGGACTCGTCCTCCACTGGTGGAGGAGAGCCGTCAACCTGCAGCCCCTCGGGGGGCTGTGGGGAGGCCATGCTCCAGCTCCTTCCACCAGACCAGCTGTTCCTCACTGTCCCCGGAAGTCAGGCCCTTCCTCCAGCTTTACTTTGGCTCACATTTGTTAAAGACATGGGTTATCCTCCCTCATTAAGCCCACTAACAGGAGGAAACTAGTGTGGAGTGCACTTACAGAATGTGAGAGTGTCAGCACATGCTGAGCATCAGGGTACCATGGCCGCCTGGGTCAGAGTCAGGGCAGAGATGCCGTGACTGGCCCATTTCAGCTCAGAGAACAGTGAATAAACAGGCCAGGTGTTGTGCTGGGTGCCCTGGTTTTGTAGATGAGGACCCCAGGCTCAGTAAGGTTAGTATAACCAGCCTGTGGTAGAAACGGATCGACTCCAGGTGTGAGTGGCTCCAAAGTCCATGGTCTGGGCCACCCACCGCATTTTCCTGACCCCGACTGGCGTGTGAAGCGGTCAGTTTTCTTTGGAGTGACATTTCCCTCTTGCCATAGCACGTGCCTGTTCAGCGCTGTGTCTGGCTGAGCCCTGACTCTTGGGCTGTGACCAACGTAGGGATTTTGGGAGGATGGGGTAGGAGGTTAAAAGCAAGGAGAGACACTTCACTCCTCTGTCAGGATTAGCCCAGCGGGTCTCCTTCTCTCATGCACTTGCTCCTCCCAAGCCTCTGTGAGGGCCTGGCTCTGCCTGATGGTCAGAGCTCGGGACGCTGCTGTATCTCAGCCTGGTTTCTTCACTTCCCTGGAAGGTCTCTGCCACGCCTGCCGGGCTCAGGATCCCGGTGAACAGCTGAGAGGCTTTCCCTGGGAGAGGTGGCATGGGCACCAGGACTTATGTGCAACTGGCTCTAGGCCTAAGAGGGATTGGAGCTGGTGAGGGTTGGAAGGGGTTCTTGAATCTTCTAGTTGGCATGGGAAAGTGATCTAGGCTTGTCTGGGCATTACTGGATTGCCTCCATCTCTACAGGACACTCACTGCAGCCCACTTCTGCTGAGAGAGTCTTTGGGCTTCAGAAATGGCCCTTCCCAGGGCTTTCTGGAGGGTGGGCCTAGCAGGAGGCCTGTGGCCTAGAGCTGAGCCTCAAGCTTCTGTTCTTTTGTGCCCAGGAGTCCCTGACTGACGCAGAGAGGATGAAGTGAGTATCTGCTGCCCGAGAGCCTGCCCTGCCTCAGCTCTGTCCCCTTAGCTCCGGGCGAGGCTGGTGGTGTAGTTGGGCTTTTCCTTGGATTAGGTAGAGGTAAATGTTGGGTTGGGGTGGGGTGGTTTAGGAACCCTGGGAGGAGGCTTGGTGTGGATATTCCTTTGGAAAAACAGGTTTGTTCCATGAGCTGCAAGAGAACCTGGAATCAAGGAGGGGATGGCTCTGAGGGCCTGCTCTTGCCAGCAAGCTCTTCCCCAGCGCCTGGCCCTTCTGTGCCAGCTGCCTCCCTGGAGCCCTTTCCGTCAGCCATGTGAGGCCCCTGGAGAGGGGGCAGTGCTGGGCTGGATTTCCAGGAGATTAATAATGGAGCAGGCTGGTAGTGCAGTGGGGAAACTGGAGCTGGGGGCTTGGTGGCTGGCGGGCTTGGGCTGTAACCAGAGACAGACTTAGAATCCCCCCACCCAATTCTGTCTTCTCATTCTTCTCCAGTGAGGGGGAGGGTGGGGGGACGACCATCTACTATCCCCTCTGCCTCCCCCACTCTCCAAGCCAGGCTGTGTTCCCTGGGCCAGAAGGGCTGAGGTTCAAGAGTCCCCTGCCCCTAGTTGCCTGTCTTCATGTCATCCCTACTTCCTCCCTGACCAGCCTGGGGCTCCAGGGCTGGCCCTTCTATCTCTAATGCCCCTTTGCCCTTTGACTCCTTCCCTGCCAGGCTGTTGCAGCAGGAGAATGAAGAGCTTCGCAGGCGCCTGGCCTTGGCCACCAGGCGCACCGAGGCCCTGGAGCGCGAGCTGGAAATTGGGCAGGACTGCCTGGAGCTGGAGCTGGGCCAGAGCCGCGAGGAGCTGGACAAATTTAAGGACAAGTTCCGCAGGTATGGGCACAAGGGGCTAGGACACACATGCACACGTCTCCCCATCACTGGGGATTAGCTGGAAGAGGCCTCATCTGATTCTGGTGAAAAAACTGAAGTTCGGGGAGAATGACTTGCCCAAGATCCCTCATGAAGGAGAGGCTGAACAGGGCCTGGAAAGCAGGACCTTGACCCAGGGGCCTGCCTTGTGTTCCTCTACAGGCTGCAGAACAGCTACACAGCTTCCCAGAGGACCAACCAGGAGCTGGAGGACAAGCTGCACACGCTGGTAACCTGTCCAAGAGGGCAGTCTGGCTGCCACTGTGCTTACAGCATAGCAGGGGGCTAGGACTTGCCAAGGGAATGCCTTTCTGCCCAGGGGCTTGGGGAGGGAGGCGGGGGCAGTGGTGGGGAGGGGACCGCAGTGTGCTCTGCAAGTCAGGACTGTCTTAATGCTCACACTGTTTCTCTTCTCTCCTCGTCTTCCCCTCATGCTGCCACCGTTGCTGCTGCACTCTCCTCTCAGGCCTCTCTTAGCCACAGCTGGATTTTTGCAGTTGCGTCTGAGTTGTGTGTTTTCTCCCTTGCCCTGGCCTCCTCCTCAGTGGAGATCTGGGATTGCCGGGGCCCTGGTCATTTCCCTCTGCCCAGTCCTATTCTCTTCCTTATGTGAGGCCTGTTCAGTAGTCAGTGCCTCCTTCCTAGGGGACAGCTGGGAGCCTGCTCTCGGCCTAGGCAGAGGTACTGATTGATGTCACTACTGAACACACAGCCTCTCGGCTGCACGGCAGCAAGCCCAAGCCTTTCGGGGGAAGGGGCCGTCGACGCAGCCTATGACCTGAAGATCAGAAGGCTGCTTTGGAGCCGGCAGCTCCCTTCCAGCTCATCTAGATAATCTCACAGCCCCCCCCCGCCCCCCCTCCCCGCCCCCAGCTGCCACCCAGCCTACTCCCTCCTCCCTCTTCCGAGCCTGATCCTGGAAACACCCACATACATAGGCTTCAGTGCCTGGGTTTGCATGGTTCTCACCTCAGGTACAGCCCCTTGCCTGGTGTGTAGAGTTCCCTCAAGGGATGGGCAGCCTCTTATACTGCTGGGCCCAGGTCATGCTCAGAAAGCCCCTGCCCCACAGTCAGCCCGGAGAACAGGAGAGTGTCTGGTCTCCTTCTGTCTGTCCATTGTCTGTCTCTATTCCATCCGCCTTGGCTGCCCTAGCACTTGTGGCTTCCTGTGTCTCGGGCTGGGAGGAGGGAAGGGGAGGAAGGGCTGGCTGGGGCGTGGACTGGGTTCACCACAAGTCTCGTGCTTCAGATCAAGAAGGCTGAGATGGATAGGAAGACACTGGACTGGGAGATTGTAGAGCTGACCAACAAGCTGCTGGATGCCAAGAACACCATCAACAAGCTGGAGGAGCTCAACGTATGTGCACTTCCCGGGCCTTCCTTGCCTGTGGCTGGCTATTCCTGGCCCAGCCCTGCTCCCTGGGGCAGGGCTGGACTCTGAGCCACATTTGTATCTGCAGGAGAGGTACCGGCTGGACTGCAACCTGGCTGTGCAGCTCCTCAAGTGCAACAAATCCCACTTCCGTAACCACAAGTTCGCTGATGTGAGTACAATACCTGCCCCAACAGTGTCAGTCCGGCCTTTTTAGGACTCTTCTAACTCCAGTTTCTACATCTCTCTCCATGGCCTTGCCTTTCACTACCCCTTTCTGCTTTGCCTAAATGTCTCCTCTCAAGCCAGTCAACTCTGCCACTGGTTGGTATCCTGTATGCTGTCACTGGCCCATCACTAGGGCTGAGGGTTGGCCTGTTGGTATTTTTGGAACAGAGACAGGGAGAGAGGGACTCAGTTTCAGGATCCCATGCAGGAAGGAGGGGTGGCCAGAGCTATCAGCCATAAGAATATTGAGAGAGTATTAGGCCCAACTGATCCCCTGACCCCAAAGGGCAAAACTCTAGACCCAAGACCCTCAGGCCCAAGGTTGATGGGGCCGACAAGCAGTGGGACATTCCCAAGGCTGTCGGTCAGTACAGACCCTCAAACTTACGTCCGGTTTGGGGAGAAACTACTACTAAGATGGGGGAGACAGAAGTTCGAGAGCACGTGGGCCTTAGCACCAGTTCTGGGTTCAGATCCTGCTGGTGTTAATCAAAAGCTTCAAGTTATTTTAGCCCCAATGAGCCTGTTTATGTGTGAAATGAGGATGTACCCGGGCGTGCTGCAAGCACAGGAGACAGCAGGGTGCCAAGCACACCGTGGTGCTTGCATGCAGTAGCCGTGTTTTGCCACCAGTCAGCCTGTCTTAGGTTGGGATCATTCATGTCTCTCTTCCCTTCTGCTCCTTTACCCCAGCTGCCCTGTGAGCTACAGGACATGGTTCGGAAACATCTGCACAGTGGTCAGGAAGCTGCCAGCCCGGACCCTGCCCCCAGCCTGGCACCAGGGGCTGTGGTACCCACCTCGGTCATTGCCCGCGTGTTGGAGAAGCCGGAGTCTCTATTGCTCAATTCGGCCCAGTCAGGCAGTGCTGGGCGCCCCTTGGCTGAGGATGTCTTTGTGCATGTAGACATGAGTGGGGGTGCCCCCGGTGACCTAGCCAGTCCCCCAGTCCCTGGCAGCCCCACCCCTCAACCCAATGGGGAGTGCCACTCTCTGAGCACCGCTGGGGGCTCCCCAGATGAGGAGGTGCCTCTGCCGGCCTTTGAGAAGCTCAGCCCCTACCCCACCCCATCTCCACCACACCCTCTGTATCCCGGCCGGAAGGTAATAGAGTTCTCTGAGGATAAGGTGCGAATCCCCCGCAACAGCCCCCTGCCCAACTGCACGTATGCCACCCGCCAGGCCATTTCCCTGAGCCTGGTGGAGGAGGGGAGTGAGCGGGGCCGTCCGAGCCCAGTGCCCAGCAGCCCTGCTTCCGCCCAGGCCTCACCCCACCACCAGCCCAGCCCAGCCCCCCCAATACTCAGTGCCCCAGCCAGCTCTGCCAGCTCTGAGGAGGACCTGCTGGCCAGCTGGCAGCGGGCATTTGTTGACCGCACTCCACCGGCCGCTGTGGCCCAGTGCACAGCTTATGGACATGAGGCGCTCCCTGAGCTGCAGCGCCAGTTTGCTCTGAGCCCCGCTGACAGAGAGGAGGAGGTTCAGGCACCTTCTTCCCCACCTGGTGAGAGTGGGCTTTTGCTGCCAACAGAACCCGACTCTGGCCTTCCCAGGGAGGAAGATGAGGAAGAGCTGAATCTGCCCATCAGCCCTGAGGAAGAACAGCAGAGCCTGCTGCCCCGTGATACTGGCACAGAGACAGGGCCTGGTACTTCCCACACTGAGGGCAGGACCTGGGCACTCCCTGGCTCCAGCCGGCCCCAGCGCAGCCCTAAGAGGATGGGGGTACACCACCTACACCGCAAGGACAGCCTGACCCAGGCCCAGGAGCAGGGCAATCTGCTCAATTGAGGCCCCTGCTTGCCTTCCTGCCACTGCTGCACTGGGACTGCAAGGAGACCTGATCCTTGCAGCTCATTGTCCTCTCCCCAGCCAAGCGTCCCTCTAGGCCTGCACAGCTCTGTTCCTTGTACGGGGAGGGCCAGGTGGTGGGCCACACCAGGCCTTTCAGCTGCATTGACTGACTGGCACCAGCTTGCCTCATGGTTTTCCCCTTCTTGAAATATTTATTCTCCAAAGGTAACATGCAGCCAGGGCTCAAGATCTTTCTTCAAATCAGTCCAGCCCAAATCGGGCTGTTCTGGGGAGCTGAGGGGCTCATCACATCAGTGTTCATCCTCCCTCTTCCTCTCATAGCCATGAGGTGTTGTGTTGTTTTGTTTTTTGATGAGGGGGTGTTATTGGGATTATTAACCTCTAATTCCTATTTTCTATTAACGTTTCTATTTTTTACCTGTTTCCCTCTCCCCAAAATCCCTTGCACAGCCATTGCCTTTAAGGGGCCTGGCACAGCGCGCCCTCCGGGGTGGGAGAGGGCTGACTCAGGGCTCTCCTCAGCTGTTCCCTCTGGAAGGGAGTGGAGGGCGGGCCTCGGGCCTCCAGCTGGGCTCTAGATGAGGCCTGGCTCCCCTCCTAATCTTGGCTCTAGACTGTTACTCCCAGCTTTGGGAAATTTTCACATTGATGATTTTAAAATTAAATAAAACTATTTTACTGTTATGGGCTAATTTGTCTATTACTGACGGTTCTGCTCCCCATCCTTGAGTATTCCCAGTCCCTGTGATGTCCTACTTTTTGCTGGTGATTCTCCCTTGCCCCACTTTGCCTGGGCCTTCCCTGGGCACAGAGCATCAGGCAGTGGGAGAGGGTGGCATTAGTAACCTTGATGGGGCCCCTGTGTCTCCCCTTGAGGTAGAGTCCGGCCCAGCTCTGGAGGTAAGCTCTTTACCTCAGTTATACTGTTATAGGGCCTGTGTGAGGTGTCGCCTAGCAGTGCAAGGTCTGAGTCAGACTAGTTTGAGACTTGGGGCCAGGGGATGCTTTGGTTGTGGGGTGGCACTGCCCCCTAGAGGTGCCTAATGGTAATGTCACTTCCTCCCCTACTGCCAGCCCCAAGTGACCACAGCCATACGCCAGGTTGTAGAGTTCATAAAAATCTCTTCCGAGCCAGCGGGCTGCAGCCAGAGCTGCCAACAAGTCCAGAGCCATTGCCTTGCGTTCGAGTGCCCCCAAGGCTGGTGCTCATTCACAGCTTCCGGAGCCTCCCCTCACACTGCCAGGAGCTGCCAGAGCCCCAGGCAACCCCCTCCCTCCCAAGCCCCAGGGCCTGACCCTGGTATCTGGGGCAAGGTGCTGGGGACAGAGGCGAATGTAATAACGTGTGGAAGCCCAAGTGGAGAGTCACATCTCGGTCTCAGCCAACAGACTGTCCCCTAGTCCTGAAGTCATTAGCACCATCTGAGAGCTGGGATCTGTGGAGGCAAGAGGGGTGTTCAGACCACCATTTGTTCCTGCAATGGGGACTATAAATAGGAAGAAAGTGGCCCAGGTTTCCCACACCCATCCTCCCGGGTCCCAAGCCTCTTCAGACCTGGCTCCCATCAACCCACAAGGCTCTTACCACTGGGGCACATCCAGGAACTGCTTCCCCTCGGGTGGGCGGCAGGCTCCCGCCCCCTCTCTCCTTCCTGGGTGTGACCAGGCCCTCCTGCCACCTCCTCCTCCTCCTCTCCCTCAGAAAGGAGGTCACAGATCTGCTGCTGCAGCTCTGGGCTGATGCTGTTCTCAGCCAACACCAGGCTCCGCAAAGCTGTGGGGTAATTCTCCACCATGTCCAGCAGGGTCTGGGGTAGAAAAGAGTATGGAAAAGAATAAACTCGGTTAAGGTGGCTTCCTTGACTCCAGCCTGCCACCCCTTCATTCCGTCCACAGACACCCTGGCTAACTCCCCCTCCCCCACCCCCAGGCCTTCCCCAAACATGAAGATGTCTCACCTGAGCAGACTGGTTGGTGAGCCCTGTGCTCTCCAAGTCTAGGACCTCTAAGGTGCGACTGGAGGCCACAGCCACAGCCAGCATCCCTGCCACATGATCACCTTGGGAGACAGCACGCACACACACATACGCATCTACATTCATGCACCGGCCTGCGAACCCTTCCTCCCAGACAGCTTCCCCATCGCCCTAACAACCTTGGGTCCCACCCCCAGGCCAGGAAACGCTGACAATTGGTAGGTAGCCAGGAGCAGAGCATTGTGATTGGTGAGTGAATGCATGAAGCGAGCTGGAAGTGGTGATGGATGCTTTGATCTACCTGTTGGTCATCTATCTGGTCCTCCACACATGTGGCTCCTCTGCTACCTCCCAGACCGCCCCCTCCATTTTCCCTTCCCCAGTGTGGGGGTTACCGTGGCAACCGATGGTCCCAGGTTCTTGGATGGGGGGTGGGGTGGTGAGAATCTAAGGAAGTTTTCTTGAGCCTCACCCAGGGGGTTGTAGTCCAAATTGAGGACGCGGACCTGGGAGCTGTGGGCCACAGCAATGGCAAGGCGGCTCCAGCCCTTAGGAGTGATGCCAGGGTTGGCACTCAGCGTTAACTCCTTCAGACCTGGGCAACATCGCAAGGAGAAGCCAGGATGGGAAAGTGTCAGGCCCTCTTTAAGCTCCTACCCTGCCCTAGATCTCTGGGGTGTCCCTAGTGGCTGGGAGGCACCCCACCCCCACTACAGAACTCCAGTGCCGTTGGAGACCCTGCCCTCCCTGCCCACCAGAGCTGGATTTCAGATTCTCCATCCTGTTCAACCCCTAATCCTCCTCCTTCCTGAAACATTTAAAATACATTCTCACCCACACTGTCAGAGCCCTCCGCTCTGGGCCGGGGCCCCTGCCCTCTGCATTTAGCTTTTCATCAAGGCCACACCAGCCCCTGCCCTTAGCAGGGCCCTGCTCACCAGACTTGGCCCCATCTGGGGGGAGGAGGCCACAGATGAGGTTGATGGCTTCATCACCCAGCATGCAGTCCCCCAGGTCCAGAGCCACAAGGGCAGGATGGAGGGCCAGGGCTGGGTTCAGCAAGGCCAACCCCGCATCTCTCAGGGGGCTCCCATGCAGGCTGGGGGGTGAGACCAGAGAGCAGAGGTTACGCAGTCGTCAGCCCTATCTGTGGGGGAAGAGGTGAGCCCTGAGGAGAGGAGGGCACTCAGGCTCGGCACTGAGGCGAGGCTTTGGGAAGGGAGAAAGGAAATTCCAGAAAGTCTAGAGACTCTAGTCTAGAGAGGAACGCAGGTAGACGGTTTCCTGGGACCCAGGACAGAGGGCAGAGAAGGGGGTGGGGTGGATTAGGGTGCCTCAGTAGGAGGATGTCGGGCAGTGTTCCTTTTGGGGGACTGAGGAGCTGCCCCCAGAAGTCAATGCGGTGACTAGGTGAGAGGTTGCACGTGCCCCACCAGGGAAGGGGTGGGTATCCCATCTGCTTTGGGGTGAGGCTGCGGGTGCTGGTTCCGGAGGAGGGATGTGCCGGGAGGGTGGAGGCAGAGGGG